GTCTGGGAGCTGTGGGAACTGCTGCGCTTCTCTAAGACACACACCTGGGACACAGCCAGCCTCACCCAGGACCTATCATCGCCCAACAAGCCAACAGGTGGTGCCACTCACCCAAACTGGGCTACCGGAGTGCAAACAGCAGACCCCAGCTAGTTTCCCAGCTCCCCAGGCATGCACCCTGCTCTGGAATATAAAGCCAAAATTATATCATCTTGCACTGCACAAGGATCTGCACAGTGTAAACACATTAATATATCTGCTCCTCCCTCAATGTGGAGAGGAATATGCACACTTGTAGTAACCAAGCTGATATTTTCCCCAAAACACTTCACTTAAAGACACACTGGTTTAAGATAAAATATAAAACAAGTTTATTAACTACAAAAAGATAGATTTTAAGTGATATTAAACAGATCAAAGCAGATTACCTACTAAATAAACAAAACCGCAACCTCAGCCTACGATACTAGAAAGATGGGATATGAGTTAGCAAATTTTCCCCCTGGGTGATGATACAAACTGGCTTTCAGATTCTTAAACTTTGCAGCTTGGGATCTCCTCCCCCATTCCAAGTCTTTTTCTTTTGGAGCTTCTCTCAGGTGTTGAGTTGTGGGGGAGTGAAGAACAACAGATGATGTCGTTCCCTGCCTTATCTAGCTTTAGCATATGGTGGGAACCCATTGTTCCAAAAACAGTTTGTGGAAAAATACAGGTACCCGAAATGGAGTCCAGAGTCATGTGGGCTGGTCACATGCCCTTGCAGAGTCATAGGCTATCAGGAGCAGTCTCAGGAAGGTTCACCAGGTAGGGGATAAGCTTCTCCTAAGGCCTATTGTTTTCCCTAATGGCCCATTACCCTGAATGGGCCTTTCACAACCAGCTCTTTAGACTGGAAGCAGCTTGCCTAGTGGGTGTCCTCCAGGTGTAACTACATGTGAAATACAGATACATAGTCAATATTCATAACTTCAGGTACAAAAACGATACATGCATACAAATAGGATAATCCTATTCAGCAAATCATAACTTTTCCAATGACACCTTACATGACCCATGTAGCAGCTGCCAGATCCCCCACCCAGGCCTCAGCTCTTTGCCCTGGCGGGGGCCCCATAAGGAGGTAGTAACTGATGAATGGTGCTGCATCCTGGGCTTGCACCAGCCACCCTGCCACTGTGACAGGGAGCGACACTTCCCCCTCACTCCAGGGAGTACCCCCTCAAGTACACACACATCCCTCCAGCACCCCCAAATATACCCCCTTCCAGCTCTCTTCTGCTCTCCCTCGCCCTCCCCCCCCCCCGCCACTTCTGGTACTGTCCTCTTTTTGGGAACCTGAAATATGGTAACCCTAGGCATGAACTACTACAGATGTAAGGAAGGGGGTGGCATCAAATAAGTCTGAGAACCCCTGGGTTAGAGCACACAATTGGTTGTTGGAGAGCTTGGTTCAATTCCCTCATCTGCCTGCTGAGGAGAAGGGGGTTGAGCAGCGGCTCCCTGCTTCTCAGGTGAAAGGACTTGATGGACCATTGAACTGTTCGGAAATGGCACATTCTGTGTTCTGATTGTAAGCCTGGCAATGATAAGCACGTTGTTGCACAGAGCTTAACACCAAGATTTATTCAATAGATACATAGGTTGATGTGGATGATCTATAGAACTAAAAAGCAGGCACAAGAGCAACAGCTTGTACTCCTCTTGGAAACCAGCTGGAACCAGGCAACTCTTTCTCTTTCATATATTGCCAAGTCTGTATTGCTGTACTGTGCTCTGTTCTAAATACCAGTACCCTCTGGTGTGCAACTAATTTACACTCGGTTACTGTATTATCTCTTCTCCTATATTATTTATACAAGATTCTTCAATTTTTATGTCATGCAGCTTGTTTGCTATTGCATTGACTTCCTCTACATTCACATCTAGTACTGAGCAGGGGAATATTAGTTTTAGCATCACTGCAGAGTGAAAGAGGTGCTCTAATTTCTGAAAGGTAGAGATTCAAGTGGGTCTTAATGCTGCCACCATAATGAGCGGTTAGATAAAACATCATTGCTCTCCCTCATGTACGATGGGCTTCCTCTGTGCAGGTGCATTGTAGGTGAAGTGGATTCAGAAAAGCCTCGTCTCACCCAGCCTTGAGCATCTGAGCAGGAACTGGCCAAAATACAGCTCTTGTGCTTCTTTGAGCATTAAGGTGATGGCCCAGTTAGCATGGTTGGCACATTCCATCTTTCCCCAGGGAGCATGGCCATTCAGGTGCATGACATTGGCTGAGCCCTGGTTCTCTTGTGTACCATCTATTCTAATGCATGCAAAAACAACCCCCTCCCCCCCTGAAGATAAACATCCTCCATGGTGTTCTTTCTGAGTCATTCTGTCTGTAGTAAGATAGGTGTTTCTCCATGAATGGCTAATTTTTGCCCTCTGATATTCTGAAGGTGCAATTTGGACCCAAGGAAGTATTCAGAGTGGTGGTGGGATGAGGGCGGATCACTGAGTGAGAAGTGAGATTTTAAAATGTAAATGAAAGGGTGGAATTGTCCAGTTATCTGTCAGCCACAATAACTTTTCAGCCCTGGGGACCATTTGGCGATTTGCTTTGATTCAGCCATCCAAAACATGGTTGATTTAGACAAGCCAGCGTATGTATTTGAAGAACAAGCATAAGCCACACATACCCAGTGATAGAAGGGTATCACAGAAAACTATTGCCCTGGGGATTGGCCGACAGTGGGGATTAGATGCATTGGCCTTGGGCATTGTTGCCCAATAGCGGGAAATTTAGAATTTAAGGAGCAACAGGTCGCACCTTAGCTGAGAGTGGTAGCCTTTCTATATACAGTGTGGTACAACCCCTTAAAGAACGGACAGGAACAAAAAAGCAACTCTCTTCTGCCTAGCTGGCTGGTTGCCAGAGGAGCCCTTGGCACCTGCTGCAGGTTGACAGTCTTGGCCAGTTTGCAGTTGGCTGAACCATGTGTTTTTGGATTTGCTTATTTTCTCTGCCTTCTGATTAGTTAGTTTTCTTGGCTGTTCCACTGCATATATAAACATTTCCTTCCCTAGTTCCCATACCTTTGTTGTTTCCCCTGGTGAGTTGATGCTGTGACTACTGAATGATGATTTTTCTTTTCATTTCATTTGCAAGCATGCAACAAGGTGAATTAACATGTAGGGGGAAGGATCGAGTGGGGAAGAAACTTAAGAAAGTAAGAACATTGCCTCAGGATTTAAAAGGAAAATCTTTGTTGATTTTGCTAAACTTCTCTGTTGAGTCTGATTATTTCTGGATGAATAAGAGATGTCCCTGAACCAAAACTCTGAATCCAAACACCCCATACTGAATGCATACATGTGTGTGTGATGATAGGGGTCAGATCTGAATCCAAATTTCCCAGCTAGACTCTATCTCTATAACGGGACAGCCCAAAACCTTACATCTGAACTCTGGGGGAGGTTTTTGGATGCAGATTCAAATGTCACAGTTCAGGTCCATCTGAAGTATTAGCTGAGGTCACTTCTAGATTTGCTAGTTTGTCCTCCCATTCCTTGCTCCTGCTTTTTTCTCGTAAAGCAACTCTTGATGAGATGAACACATTGTTGAAAACAGAACTGTTTGATCTAACCATCCAGCAACACATGTGCATTGCAAGAACTTTGTGAATCTCATCAGTCATGGACTTAGAACCAATATTTGCCCTCTTTTCCACACTGGCCTCCAACCTACCCTTTTCTGTGCAACTGGGATTAGCTGCTGACACTGTGCATGCAGAGTACTTAAGCTCTTTGAGACTCTGCTAGTTCTTATCATCGCTCTGGAGTGCGATTCCATTTGAAGCATAAGTTATTACCTACAATTCAGTTTCATCTCTTTGAGGATGATAGAGCAATAATTCCTTCAACCCAATCATACTGTATGTAATATTCATGTCAGATGTGTCTGATATGTACAGTAATAAAGGATAAAACCTTTTTTAGTGGAATAGAATCTGAACGCTGCTGCATCTTGGGCTAATAAGTGTTGCGTAGGGTGTGTTTTCAAATAAAGCAGTAATAACAGAAGCTTGATATTAAAGGATATTAATTCTTAGAGTATTACCACTTTGTCATTGTAAATATTGTAAAAAACGACATCCACAAGTTATTTCAGAACCCCTGACCTATTCTATTTTTTTTTTCTTTTTTGGTGGCTCAGACCCCAGACTTCCTCTTTGGTCCTGCTTTTTTTTTTCTCTTCTCACTTATTAACAAAATGGACTGTGGAAATGAGGCTGTGAGCTGTGCTATAATTTGCAGCACTACGAACAGGCAGATTAAACTGATGGTGTGATATGTGATATCATCCCTCCATTATTTTCCCAAAGCATCAAGTTAATAAGACTAATGCAGACTGGCATGTGTGTTGCGGCAGCCATCACTGCTTCTGAAAAGAGATTCAATATAATGACTCTAGGACAGGAAGTGGAAGATGTGGATAAAATTAGAAATAAGCATTTTAATTAGATGTTAGTGACTGTGCTTTTCATTAGTAGTGGTTAAAGAGTATCATTGACTTTTACAGCTACTTACCCAAAAAGTAAGATGTGTCTGTATAAAAAAGATAAAGTGACTTATATGTATGTATTTCCTCCTTGGGAACTGCGAAATAGGTTGTGGTTGAAAAGTTTAGGGTTTTTTTTCTGTTCTCTGAAATTGGCACAAGTGAAACAGAAAAGTCCAAGGAAACATGCGTTTTTCTGCTCTGGCTTTTTTAACAATTCATCATGGAATCTAACAGGGAAAATAAGTTATAAGTTACTCCCTTAAAAGTACTTGGCAATTAACTAGCAGTATTATCAAAATTCGTTTACTGGCTTGTTTCAATATCTTATATCTTTTAAGGACACAAATGATTTCTTTTTCACTGTAAAGAAATGCTCTTACGGTTTTTTAAGTCTAATTTTTGTGACCTGTCCCCTGAGAGAATCTAATTCATTCTTCTTCTAAAACAACTATAGGGATCCAAAGAGATGAGACAGAGGCTTGCATGGTCAGAAGTTCTCATACTCCAACTGGAAGGAAAACTCCAGGAATTGAGCAATGGGGACTCAGATTCAATGGCAAAAGTTCAGAAAATTCGAGAAGCCAATGAAGCAGGGGTGAAACAAATCCAAGAGGAAACTGCAACAGCCTACCATCAAAAGGTAAGCCTATAATATAGAACATGTGTTCCTTCTTTCTTTTGTCTACTTTACAAGAGTTAATATACAGTATTTGCAAGGTTCAGAAGGGGGCTTTTCTCCCTCCAGGCTACTAGCTACAGTTACAGCTTATTCAAAAAGTTAGACTTTTCCCCTATCTGAAAAGAGTTTAATAACATAGCCTTAAAAAAGAGAATGGACAAAACTAATGAGCATTCTGCTTACACATAACAATACAGTGCCAGAGGAAATGAATTGGGCCAGGGTGAATTATTTTTACTTGTTAAGAGAATGTAAAGGGTGAAATCCTGGCCCCATTGAAGCCAATAGCAAAATTCCCTTCAACTTCAATGAGGCCAGGAGGACTTCCCCTTACAGTATGCATAATGGAATTGTGGTAGTGACTCCTTAGCTAAAGACAAAAGGCAGTTAGATGTCTGACTGGGTGCCTAGCTCCTATTTGTGCTTTTGAATATCTCCTCCAAAGTTTCTAAGCTGTTTTCCAAGGTCTACTTTTGAAAAACACTCATTTTGACTTTTCTTTGACAAAAAAAAAAAAAAAATGTCCTTTACACCTCAAATTGTATATTTGAGGCCAGATCCTCAAGACCAGCCATTTGGCACATGGCATCACTCCCTGATAGCTGACACTTTATTTCAGTACACTACAGAGAAGCCTGAGGGTTGCTCTAAATTGCACCAGAGGCAAACAGCACCAACAGGCCATTTTGGTAGCCAGGGATTGCTAGAGTATAAGAAAATTCCAGCCATACTCCCTTTTTTCTTGGCCTTTGCCACCCACACTCACAGCCCTTGTCATAGTCGATGAGAACCAAGGTGTGAGTGTACCATGGATTTATATAGTGGCATTATGATATTTTCCATTTTATTATCTATCCCTTTCCTAATGGTTCCTAACACTGTTAGCTTTTTTGGCTGCCGCTGCACACTGAGCAGGTGTTTTCAGAAAATTAATCATGATGATGCTAAGATCTTTCTTGAGTTGTAATAGCTAATTTAGACCTCATCATTTTGTATGTGTAGTTGGAATTATGTTTTTCCATTGTGCATTACTCTGCAATTATCAACATTGAATTTCATCTGCCAGTTTGTTGCCCAGTCACCCAGTTTAGTGAGATCCTTTTGTAACTCTTTGCAGTCAGCTTTGAATTTAACTATCTTGAGAAATTTTATATAATCTGCAAACTTTGCCTCCTTGCTGTTTACCCCTCTTTCCAGATTGTTTATGAATATGTTGAACAGCACTGGTTCCAGTAGTGATCTTGGAGGACCCTACTATTTACCTCTCTCCCCTATGAAAACTGACTCTTTATTCCTACCCTTTATTTCCTATCTTTTAACCAGTTACTGATCCACGAGAGGACCTTTTCTCTTATCCCATGACAGTTTACTTTGTTTAAGAGCCTTTGGTGTGGGATCTTGTTAAAGGCTTTCTAAAAGTCCAAGTACACTATATCTACTAGATCACCCTAGTCCAGTGGCTCTCAACCTTTCCAGATCCCTGTACCCCTTTCAGGAGTTGGATTTGTCTTGAGTACCCTAGTTTCACCTCACTTAAAACCACTTGCTTGCAAAATTAGACATAAAAATACAAAAGGGTCACAGCACACTGGAACTGAAAAATTGCTTACTTTCTCATTTTTACCATATAATTATAAAATAAATCAACTGGAATATAAATATTGTACTTGCATTTCAGTGTATAGTACATAGAGCAGTATAAACAAGTCGTATGAAATTTTAATTTGTACTGACTTCGCTAGTGCTTTTTATGTAGCCTGTTGTAAAACTAGGCAAATATCTAGATGAGTTGATACCTCCTGGAAGACCTCTGCGTACCCCCAGGGGTATGCGTACCCCTGGTTGAGAACCACTGCCCTAATCCACATGCTTGTTGACACCCTCAAAGAATTCTAATAGATTGGTGAGGCATGATTTCCCTTTACAAAAGCCATGTTGACTCTTCCCCAACACATCATATTCATCTATGTGTCTGATAATTCTGTTCTTTAGTACCAGGCAAACTGATTGAAACTATACTAAAGTTAGGCTTACAGGCCTGCAATTGCCCGGACTGCCTCCGGAGCCATTTTTAAAAATAGGCGTTACATTAGATACCCCCCAGTCAGCCGGCACAAAAGCTGCTTTAAATGTAACTTTAGCGCTCTCGTAGCCAAGATGGAGTCTGCTCTGCAGGCAGCTCTGGCCAAGAGACGGCGCGCGCAGGAATGCAGCAGGAGAAATCCCTTCCACCCCAGGGGCACCTGTTCCAAACCCCCCAGAGTGAACACACACACCCACAGGAAAAGTACAATGGATATAAGAAAGGGAAATATTTATTTACAGAGGGATGAGAGGAGAAAAACAACAAGGGGGAATATAGGGGGTGCGGCAAAACAGGGTTGCATCCAAGCCTAGGCCCCACAGGCCCAGTGGTAGCACAGTCTGGAAGGGCAGACACTGAGTAATGTGTCTGCACACAGAGTTCAGGAGTCCTGAGCAAAGTTCCAGTCCAGTGGCGAGTCTTGGGTGCTCCTGGTCGTCTTCGGCGCCAGTGAACTTTCCCCAACAAACCCCTCCGGTGCCCTCTTCTGCCGCTCTCTGCAAAGCCACACAGAGCGACCACCTCCCCACTTAACTAACCAGCAGCCTCCCTCCTTATTCCCAGTGCAGAGTCACAAGCCCCAGTACTCTGAGCCCCATGCAGCTCTGGGCAGCCGTGATACTGAGTCCAGCTCCGGCCTGTCCTTCTTGGGCATTTCCTCCCTGGCACAGTGCTCCTCCTGGCTCCTGTCCTGGGGTGTCCCCAATCAGCCGCCCTGTCCTTCCCAGGCGTCAGGCAGGTTCTCTGCTGCTTCACTTTGTTAGGGCCTGCGGGCTGCAGTCCTTCTCTCCCCCAGCGCTCCAGAGCCACCTCCCGCCCGAGTTTCCCTCCTTTCTCTCACTGCTCCCCCTCCCCTCTTAGGAAAAAGATTTGAAGGGGCCATGCTCTCTAAACCCCAAAGGTGTTACATAAAGGATAGGTTATGTACCCCAGTAGTTCTGTAATTTCATATTTGAGTTCCTTCAGAACTCTTGGGTGAATACCATCTGGTCCTGGTGACTTATTACTGTTGAATTTATCAATTTGTTCCAAAACCACTTCTGCTGATATCTCAGTCTGGGACAGTTCCTGAGATTTGTCACCTAAAAAGAATGGCTCAGGTGTGAGAATCTTTCTCACATTCTCTGCAGTGCACACTTTCTCTCTCTAATGTTTTTCCAAACTGTTTTAACCTTTGGTAGCATTCCAAAGGGCTCATTTTCTCACCCCTTCACATTCCCTGTTGTCTGTTATGATCTTTCCCATTGCACGCTTTGCATGCAAAGTGTTTATTTTGGGTAATGCAATGTTACCACTGGCTGTGAATTGAAAGGACAGAGCGTGCAAGTAGATCAACAGTAAAGATGTTTTCTTCTTTCCTGTATGGTCAGTGTAATCAAATTCATTCTCATCAGAACTGAAATCCTCTTACCTTTGCCCGAGCCCCTGTTGTACAGTAGATTCCGGGGGGTGTGTGTGTGTGTGTGTGTGTGTGTGTCTGTGTGTAAATCTGGACAATGCATTGACACTATAGTAAAGCTCATTATTTGTGCTTTTTTTCCCAAGGCTAATTTTGTTTTGAGAACAGCAAATCGTAAATTATCCTTGCTGAATCGCCTATTTGCTAAAAACTGAAACAAAAATACATTCATCTAATGCTAGCAAAACATAGCCGTGATCAGGATACGGTCAAAGCTGTAATCAGCATAATGTATCCAGTTGGCTAGGCCACCTATCTGAGGGACCAGAAATATGCCCTGTCAGAAGAGGGATGCTTCTCAGAAATCCACAAATTCTTTTGGAAATTAACGAGTGATATGCAGCTTATTTTGTTAATAGAAGCACAAAATGGGTTTTGCTTTTCCAAAATATAGACTTTCTAAGAACCATAGTATGCTATTACTCTTATTCATTCTTTCATTTCATTGTTGGCTTCCTTATTCCTTGCCATTAACAGCAGATTAGCAGACCAGCAATTGTGTTAACAAACAAACAATTCTTTTTAAAGCTAACATAGTCTCCATTTTGTTTCAAATTCCATTGACTAGAATAAGAAAATCCTGAATCAGAATATCAGATAACCAGGTTATAATAGTAGGTGCATGTAAAATAGTGCCTGAACTCCTGAATACTTTTCTATTATAGCACAAATAAAAGTATAAAATGTCTTTCAATGTGAATATCAAACGAGGCCCCTGATCCTGCACAGGAAAACCCCTATGTAGTGGTTTGAGCATTGGCCTGCTAAACCCAGGGTTATGAGTTCAATCCTTGAGGGGGCCATTTAGGGAACTGGGGTAAAAAAGAAAAAAAAAACTGTCTGGGGATTTGTCCTGCTTTGAGCAGGGGGTTGGACTAGATGATCTCCTGAGGTCAGGGGCGGCTCCAGGCACCAGCGCAGCAAGCACATGCCTGGGGCGGCAAGCCGCAGGGGGCGGCCTGCCGGTTGGTGTGAGGGCGGCCGTCAGGCTGCCTTTGGCGACATGCCTGTGGGAGGTCCACCGGTCCCGCGGCTTCGGTGGTAATTCGGCTGCGGGGACGCTGAAGGCACAGCACTGGCGGACCTCCCGCCGGCATGCCACCGAAAGCCGCCTGACTGCTGTGCTTGGGGCGGCAAAAACCATAGAGCCGCCCCTGCCTGAGGTCCCTTCCAACCCTGATATTCTATGATTCTACATGGTACCCCACTGAAGTCATTGGGGCTCCATGCTACTGAAAGGGTCTGCTCATTGCAGGATCAAAGCTTAGAAACTGGGCCCAAGATGTAAAGTCCAGATCCAAACTTCCCAATGTTTGAGGTACTGAGGCTTGGATTTTAAGTCTGGCCATTAGCACTAGAGATTTATGGGTAAGAAATAGGGAAGAGCTTTCAGTATAAAAAATTCAATAAATTGTCACA